AGCCTATTGTAACCCATTATAGGTTGGTTACCTAACCCTTTAGTAACTCCAAGTCCCTCAAAGTAAGCCCTAAATCCTTTTGGGAACTTCCTTCATCCATCGTCAGTGCGTTTGCGCAAGCTTATTCGTCGGGTTCAGGAGCTGCGGAAAGGCTAAACCCTGGGTACTCTAAGCCCTGAAACCTCAGCTCCAACCAAAAACCGTATTTAGAATACAAGGCTTTGGGTTAGGGTTCCATAAGCTCTAGAACCCAAAACAGCACACCCCAAAAAGCTAAACCCTACAACCCCTAAAAGAAGAAACCCATAATTTGCGCAGCCAGGTGCTGCTCTGTCCAATCTTCGACAGGACTCTTGCTGGAAAGCATTAGCCTCAGGAGTCTAAATCCACTGGGATGTGGTAGTCAATTTGGGATGTAGAAGTAAGATGAGGTTTATACTAACTAATAAACCCCCTCCTTTTTGGGCCTGAATATTAGGATCCCTATTATACTCCCTATTACGGGGAGGAGTTTATTAATCACGGGTCTACATTATAGTGGAGTCTAGATTTGGGCCCCTTGTTTTTGTCAACCCCCTGGTGTACGTAGTGTTGAAGGATAGAGTTCAAGGCAAGTTTGGTCAACTTTATGGAGCTGTAGGGTTTGAAGTTTGGGGAACTTGTTGTCACCCCCTGATAACTGAAATCTACAACCCTATTTCGCCATCTTAGGGGTCTTAGGGGACTTGGGGTAGGACATGAGTACTAAGCAGGATGTTTAGGATCCCACAAGCACAATATTTCCCGAAGCATCGGTGAAGATGATGATGAAGAAGAAGATGATGATGATGATGATGATCATCATCATCATCATCCAAATGACTCACGAAAACAAAGCTCGCAGTAGCAACAACCAAGCAACCCACCTCCGGATAACCCGTATCTTCGCCATGGCTCAAGAAGCAACACTAAACAAGGGTGTCGGCTAGATGTATACCGGTACCGTCTACCAAAATCCGACGTACCAAGAATCCATAATTTCGCCCGATGACCCGCCTAAGGTCACTGGGCCCGGGAACACTGAGAACACAAGCGGCAGAAGGTCCAGCAAGGCGACCCCTGCAAGCATTTTCGTGCTCCGTCCAGCAACCCGCCCAGTAAGCACGCCCAGCAGATTCAGACCGTTCTGGCTGGTACCGGTAAGGGGTGATGGCCCAACAATACATACCGACCTTGCCACGTAACGCCCTCACGGGTATGGAGTTCGTCACGCGCTTAACATTTGGCTCGCCACTGAATGCGTCCGAGGTCCCATATAGTCCCAGTGCTTTTACCTTTGGTTGGTTGCGTGTGCAGCCCCGTTGCGTGTGCAGCCCCTCGCCCCACATGCAGGATCGCCATCTCGCAGGCCAAGAGCATCACGAAGAGCAGGTGGTGCAATATTTCCTGTTGCTTTTAGCTTCTAAGAAAATCTTGCTTACAAGTCCCAAATCCTGAGCCCCAACCCCTAAACCCTGAACCTCGAACCACAAACCCTAAACCCGAACACCTATCCCTGAAGTGGGAGGTCCACCCTCTAAAGCCGAAACCGCCATAGAACCTAAGCGGAAGCCCCAAATCCGAGGCCCAACAGCCTCCTGGACCCCGAACTTACTGGGGTTTAGTAGGGAAAGGGAATCTATTTTTGATAGGAACTATACAGGGATGGTATTCTCTTATTCCCTACTAACTACCAATAAGCTAAAGTATGTAACCTAATGGTCCAAGAATTCTGGAAAGGCAATTCTTCTACGTCCATTGGGGGGTCCAGGTACGTGCCAACCCTCCAACCCCATAGACCGCAAGCAGAAACCCTAAACCAAAAACCCAACGCCCTAAACCCAACGCCCTGAAACCAACGTCCTAAACCCTACCTTAACCCTCAACCGTAAACCATCCAACCCTTTAGCTGGGCTTTCCGGCATCATGTCGGAGAGTGTGGAAGATCGCTGATGTGGGGGCCTTGGAGCGCGACCCCAGGGAGGATATGAGCAGTTCCCGAAACTTGGGGTTTGGGGTTTAGGGTTTAGGGTGTAGGATTTAGGGTTTAGGGTTTAATTAGGGCTTATGAGCTACAGTCAATATCTCCCAGATAATTAAAGGACATGGGTTCCATTTCAAAGACTATATTAGGGACTATACTAAACCAGAAGAGGGACCCTCATGTCCACTAAGTAGGAGTCCCTTAATTATAGAATGTAGAACCCCCAGTTTGGTACCATCTACTATCATTAGGTGATTTCTAGGAATCACTAAGTGGGATCTACTCCCTGGACCCGTAAAAAAAACCCTAAACCCATAAACCTGAAACTCTAAACCTCTAAACTCTGAACCCTAAACCCTAAGTCTCAGGTGTTTGGGCATGCTGCTCTGGAGAGAAGTTCAGGTCAGGTTTAGTGTGGAACTGCGGGGCACCTTGCGCCCCAAGGGATTGACATGATTGCGCGGGGTGTTTTGTGTTTTAGGGAATCTAAAGGGGCGCTCGAAAAAACTCCTTTTGTATCTCAATCTTAAAGTTCGGGGTTTGGAGCTTACTGCTTCAGAGCTGAACCATTTTGGCAGTTCCAGGTTCACAGGTTCAGGCAACGGAGGAACCTTGCAAAGTAAGAATGTGTTAGGTGCCCCTCGTCTTACTCCTAGAGAACTATTTATGCATTCTAGGACATTTGTGGGTTTGGGCCTGTATCTAAGAGCTTTCATGGTCACTCACACGGATACCAACCCTAAACCCTAAAGCCTAAACCCTTACCCTGTTGAGGGCGGGCTGACGCCGCATCCAATCAGTCATTTTCCTCACCTGAAGTGATCACATTCCAAAGGATAAACTGTGATCTTACTGACTATGGAGGACTGCAGGAACCCATCTGGGCATGAGCTATAGTCTAAACTCCTAGTATTCCCCTTAAAAACCCCTACAATACTCGCCTACATACTTCCCTATATATAACCCCTTTTGAGAAGTTTAGACTATAACTCATATAACGCCCTAAACGCTAAACCCTAAACAGAACTCCTTAAATCTCACTGAAGAAGTTCGAAGTTTGGGCCTTAAGGCAGGTAGCTGACTGGTATTGCGTCGACTGGGTTGCAGGGAGTAGTCATTGCGATTTTAGGGTTTAGGGTTTT